TTTCTACTCCTCTATCTTATGGTCTTGTGTGCCTATTCTGGTGCAGCTGTCGTAATGATTAATCCTTCATCATTTAATGTAAGTCCTGTAGGTTAGTATTGCAAGAAGGGTTGGAGGGTTGAGTAAACCTCCTCAAAAGAAGATCTGATCACAACTAGGTATTAGCTGCAAGCATCTCTTACAACATCTTGGTGCTATAATTGTCTATGATGAGCAGAAGGCAAAATCAGAAAACAACTTATATTTACTTTGCACCTTTAACATAGCAAACCGTCTCCAGGCACTCCACAGGAGTATGATCAAACAAAGTTTGACACAAATCAAAAGAGAAATCTTACAGTGTATCTTAAAGGAGGAGAGTGTAATAGAGAAACAGACAGAGATTGGGGGCAGAATTCCAGTGCTTTATGGCAGATAAGAACATCATCAATAAAGGAATGGTTAAAATTGGGGTTGGGCAAGAGACCAGACTTAGAGAAGTGCAGATATTTTGGGGAGTTGGAAGATCTCATAGGGACAGCGAGGAGTGAAGCCACGGGGCCGGGGATGGGGGTTTGAAAGCAAAGATGGAAATTTTATCATCAAACGGCTGCTTTTGAGAGCTTATTCTTGTCAAGAAAATAAGACGGCATATAATAACGCTGTGATACAGACAGCAGAATTTTGGATGAGCTGAAGTTTATGGAGGGTAGAAGATGGGAAGCTGACCGACAATATGTTGGAACAGTCAAGCTTTGAGGTGATACGTGGAAATGAGTGTTGTGTTTTCATCAGAAGCTGTCGCTTGTAGATGATTAATAGCAGGGTGGGAGGTAAGGATAGAACCCGGCAGAGAGTTGCGCGTAATGGTAACTGTGCAGGAGCAGGAGAAGAAGACATTGCAATATTTCTCTGGTAATGATTGGAAAGATATGAATAAAACTGGGTGGGAGCAGTCACAACCAACTGGCTGAGGCTTTGGCAGAGAACAGCATCGACTGTGTCAAAGACTGTAGGCAGGTTGAGAAAAGGAAAGGGAGAGATGGTTATACTTTATCACTGTTATATCACATCACTTGTGAGTTTGATAAAAGCAGTTAGAGTCATAGAGGTCTACAGCATGGAATCAGGCCCTTTGACCCAAGCTGTCCATGCTCCCCAGTTTTCACAAATAAACTAGTCCCATTTGCCTGCATTTGGCCCATATCCCTCCACACCCATCCCATCCATGTACCTGTCTAAATATTTCTTAAATGACAAAATTGTATTTGTTTCCATCACCACATCCGGCAACCCATTTCAGACACTGACCACACTCTGTGGACCCTTTTGTATCTCTCCCCTCTCACCTTAAACCTATGCCCTCTAGTTTTAGACTCCCCTACCATGGAGTAAAGCTGTTGGCAATCTACCTTATCCATGCCTCTCATAACTTTATAGACCTCTATAAGGCCATGCTTCAGTCTCCTACGCTCCAGGGGAAAAGACTCCCAGTCTATCCAACCTCTCCTTATAACTCAAACCTCCTGTTCAGATAGCATCTTAGCAAATCTTTTCTTCAATTTTTCTAATTTAATAATATCCTTTCTATAGTAGGGTGACTAGAACTGCACGCAGTACTAGAAAAGCGACCTCACCGACGTTTTGTACCATAGTAAGAAGATGTCCCAACTCCTATACTCAGTGCTCTGACCAATGAAAGCAAGAATGCCGAAAGCCTTCTTCACCACCCTGTCTAACTATGACTCTACTTTCAAGGAGCTTTAAACCTGTACCCCTAGATCTCTTTCTTCAATAGCAGTCCCTAGGGTTCTATCATTGACTGTGTAAGTCCTGCCCTGGTTTGAACCACCAAAATACAACAGTGATGGGGGCTAAACTGTGAAAGATGGGTGAGAATTTGGGAAGAAATAAATGGCTCAAGAACTTTGGAGAAGATTGTGAGATTGGAAGGGAAGCCTCAATCTTTGAGGAAGGATGGACCAAGAGCAGTTTCTCTTGAAGACAGAATTGTTAACAGTATCATCCGACACAGGGTCCAGGAATGGACTTTCAAAGCCCAGTGTTTTAAGAGGGAAAAAGTAGAAAAAGGTAGATCTCATCTACAAGATAAGCTCTGAGAGGGCATGAGGGAAAATTGGAAAGAAATTGGATGAAGGATCCCTGCTCCTAACTGCTACCCAATAATCATTACTGAAAAGTATCCGCGGGTGTGATGATCTCAAGGTCCAGCATATTCATTTCCTGTATTCACACACAATCATTTTGTTCAGGTTCTAGAAGGTGTAACAATTCCCTACTTGGTGAACACTTCCAGGAGAAGGTAACTAAAAATGAAGGGGGCATTAAGGAATGGATGGACAATGCTGGATTTTCCCAGTGATGTCCGGTGTCTCGCTCACTCACTGTAAAGGTGGTATGACACCTGAACTGACATTTTAGACCGTGATTATCTTCCCCCAATCAGGCAGTTTGTTGAGCAACAAATGGCCTTTCTCTGAAACCAAGTCTGGCCAATCAGTTGCTTGCACATGTTGGAGCCACCACAAAGATTGCTGCTAGAAAGGCACCCAACCTCCTGAAGGCCAAGGTCTGAGGTATGTGCTTTTTATTGGAGGTTGGGTTTCTAGATTAGGGGAAGGGAAATAAGCAGAGAGATTGGGGGGTTTGTGTGGTCCTCAGCAACATCACATGGGTGACTGTCAACAGCCAAACCGTCTTATGCTTAGTCTCTCTATTGTGCACAAATTAGTGCAGGTCATATGAGTTCCCACCACTCTACAGCTGACAGGCTGCCCACACTGATTTACTGGTCAATGAGTAAGTTGAGGCCTTTGGTGGCTGTTAATTGACCACTCACAGCCTTCAATTGCCCATCAACATTCTTACCCAGGGTTAATTGCTAAGGTGGAGTGGAGGAGTCACTACCTCTCCAGGGTCAACTCACACAATGGTTTGCTGTTCTTGCCACATACCTTGTCACCTTCAGGGTGGGATGGGCTAGGGTGTGGGGGGAGCAGAAATTATGCTTCATGCATTTGCAAAGATATTTGCAGATGCAATGCAATGGGGCAGCAAGGTGGCTCAGTGGTTAGCACTGCTGCCTCACAGTGCCAGAGACCTGGGTTCGATTCCACCCTTGGGCAACTGTCTGTGTGGAGTTTGCACGTTCTCCCTGTGTCTGTGTGGGTTTCCTCCAGGTGCTCCGGTTTCCTCCCACAGTCCAAAGATGTGCAGGTTAGGTGGATTGGCCATGCTAAATTGCCCATAGTGTCTGGGGATGGGACTGGGTGGGATGGTCTGAGGGTCGGTGTGGACTTGTTGGGCCAAAGGGCCTGTTCCCATACTGTAGGGATTCAATGGAAACATTCATTTGGATCAAACTAGCCCTGCATGTATAGAGTCAGAATAATGACTATTCAGCAGTCATCATTCATACAGCATTGAAGTTAGGACCCTCTCCTTGCAATTTACAAATCAAGCAACTGTGAAGTTGAAGTTGCACTGTGCAATATTAGTAACAAACAAGTAGCCAGGTTTAGACAGAATTTCTCCACCCAAACACCACACTTTAGCCTCTGTGAAAGTACAGGTTAGAATGCTTTTCAAATCAGCAGAGAAATTAATCTCATACAAATGCATTTGTTTACTCACCACCCACTGTACTGGTGGTAGAAACTCAGAGTTGAAATTTGTTTTATTGGCTGCAAAATGGGTGAAATATGGTCACGTTTAAGAGATGAATGTTCCATTCCTAATCAGCACCAGGGATACCTCCAACCCCATTTTGCCATAAGTACCTGCTTGACCACCTGAAGCTGGGGATGGATGCATTGCATTTACAAAGGAGTAACCCTGCATCAAATTATGGAGCTACAAGAGAAGGGTAAACTCTGGGCTTAGTTTGTTCAGGATTCTTCAATAGTTGCCTGTACCCAAAGCAGCACTTGCCACCAAAAGGCATCTTTTAATAACACTTTTTAGAATGTCCTAATGCATGCAACTTGTGCTGACCAGTTAATAGATAGACTTCAATCTGTCCTCTTTAGTGTGGGGTTATAAATATAAAAGAAATTGCTGAGCCAGACTGAAAAGCACCTTAATAAAAGCAAAATACTGTGGAGAAACACCTTAATGGTCACGGTGTTGGGTACAATATGTTGTGTCGAGTCCATGTTACTTGACTGCAGCCTCTTTGGTTTCAGTGCAGACTCAGCTAACCGGTTCTACCCATGGATGATAAACCTGTAAATGCTCAGGCATCACATCAATATGAATTCCACCAACACTCACTCTGTCCCAGGTAGGGTGGTGAATGGTTGGTGTGAATGAAAATTAAAATGTCAAATTTGTATAAATGGATTGGAGCGTAGAGTGCACAACTCTGCCATCATTTTACAATAACAGAGTGGGGTGGAGTGGCAGAATGCTCTTTAACATATTTATATTGGGCTCCTTTGAATACAATCAGAAATTACTTGGTGCTATCCAAGTTTCTGATAGAAGGAAGGAAGCATAGAAGGGAAATGGAGGTAAGTGGTATCAGCTTCCCAAGTTGCAAGACATTCCTGGAACTCCTTTTGGAACTGGATGAGTTGCAGTTTCTTCTACTGAAGGGGACATTCACCCTTCATGAGCACCCATCTTCAGCTCTCATCCCCCACAAACTCAGTCACCTCAATCACAGACTTCCAGCCCCATGACCCTCCTGAACACAGGCTCCTATTCTTGGCCCTATCAATTGCCAGTGGGAGTCGAATCGATAAAATGCATCAGGACGCTCTGCCTTTAAGATTGAGAGGGCATCTGTAATTCTGACCCTATTGGGTTCTTCTGCACCCTCCCTGTAAAAACTGGCCTTGTGCAGCGCAGGGCACATCAACAAGAAGTGGTCGGGGCTGAGATACCAGAACCTCGGAAAGTGTAGGTTCAGAATACGATCGTTAAGAATGGGAGAACTGTGGAGAAAAATCGATCGCTGTTTTTCGACATGAATGATAACAAAAAGAAAAATTCCTTACCAAATAAAACTGGTGCGATCGCGATTACATTGCAACGCAGTGTAAATGTCATTCGACTAGTTAGATCTGGGCAGGGCGGTGGATCGAAAGGCACGAACAAGTAAAGGCCATAGAGGATCCAAGGTATAAAAATCAGAGCAACAAAGACGGATGATATCGCTTTAAGGTGAGAAGTGGAACAGTACTGACAGCAAGGGCAGCATTTCTTGTTTCCTTTGGCCCCTGCAGTCACCTCCTTGTGTGAGGACTCAGTTGACGCGTTGCGCTCAGAGTCACTTGAAATCAGGTCAATGGTCTCGGTGTCGGGTGATGTACCTAGCAATGGCTGCACCTCTGAAACCCGGCTGGTGAACTTACGTGACTTCTCCAGCGTTCCTAAATTCTCTTCTGCCACCTTGGCAATGAAATTCTGGGGAGGAAAGGTTCTTGCTTCGCTGGGCGACGACGGCTCCGACAAAGATACTTTCTCATCGGTTAGAAAAGAGGTTTCCCTGGTGATGACAAGAGACACGTTGTCTGCTTCCTTGTTCTTGATTTCTGGGCATGGAAGGCTGTGATTTTTGAGCAGCTCTACGTTAATCCTATTCAAACCCCCGTCATTCTGCATGATCTGATGGTTCGTCACCTTCTGTTGGACTTCACCGTACTGCAGCCTTTTCGTTTTTGTAAGAGGTTCAGTTAAGTGCCCAATATTTTCATCAGACAGGGAGTGAAGTTCTTCCACAGATGATTCAGGGCTATCTGAGATAGGTGCTAGGGTAATCTGGGTGTCCAGGTCCAAAAATGGAGAGAAGGAGAGACGGCTTGGATCAATGTCTTGGAGCTGGTTAATGATGTCAGTGATTGATTCCTTCACATTGTCAAATTCTTTCAATTCGTGACTATTGGCCGGTTGTCTCTCTGTCGTCATTGTTGGGAGCTAACCCCTGAGAAGAAATGGAATTTATGAATGAAAACATCAAAGAGAAGGGAGACAAATCAGTTTCTACTTGAAAATTAACAAGTATTTGGCAACATTTTAGAACCTGCTTTACTAATCCTGTCTGTCTCACAGAGAGTTGATCAATATGGCCCAAACTGATTGTCTCATGAGATGGAAGCCTGCTCAGAGAAACTATTTTTAGACCTAAGGCAGAATAAAATTCAACTAATCATCAGAAGGGTTGAAAGGATTAGCATAAAAATAAGATAAATTACTGAGAAATTTTAACATTACTTACATTGTTACACAGAATTTATAGCATGGAAACAGGCCATTTGGTCCATCTGTTGCATGCTGGTGCTTATTCTCCAAATACATCTCTTCCCACATATTTCATTTAGCCCCTCCAATATATCCTTTTCTTCCTCATGTAAATATCCAGATTCCCCATAAATGTAGCTATGTGATGTGTGTAATACGTTTCAAGTTCTAACCACTCTGTGGATGAATAGGTTTCACCTGAATTCCCCATAGAATCATAAGTGATCAACTTGAATTCATGGTCCCTAAAGTTGTGTAAGGTAATAGTTCTGAAAGGGTTAATGCTGAAGCCCAATTTAAGCTCCACCCAAACTGATGGTAAGGCTTTGGTTGGGGAAAAACAGAAAACTGCTCTGGAGCTTGAAGGAGACTGACTCAGTGTCTAAGCTGCCTCATTGTTATAAAGACTATGTCTATAATACCAGCGTAACTTGTAGCAGATTGTTATCATTTAATAAACTGCATCTTGTGTAAGACAAGAGCCTTTCTCATTAGACTACAAGTAGTTTTCTAGTCTGGTTAGGCAAAGCAAGCCCTGCAGTTCCAAACCTAATAGGAGGATGGTGGCAGTAAATCTCTCTTTTCACAAGCTGGAGTCCAGCTAGATAGCAGTGACTGAAGATTTAATTTAGCCACAGCATCACGTAGCACTGGTGCCCTTGCAAATATCTCTATCATCTTTCCATTTTCTCTTCTATTAAAAAAGAGAGCCCAGTCTATTGAATTGTCCCTGGTAAGTATACCTTCTCAGGTCTGCTTTTAATTTAGAAATCACTTTCTCATCCCTTCTACAGGTCAAAATCATTTTTTATAATATGGAGAGCAGAATTGTACACACTTCTCCAAGGCAGTGATTTTCACTGTGTGGACTGACTTGGCATTTGTAATTTAAGGGTGGTGCCCAAACCCTAGGACCCTGTTGCACCTTGCAGAATTTTTCACCAGTGAGGACTAAGGGTGTAAGCTAACATGCAGCACTTTTGTTCACTCCAGGCAGGCACTCATAATGAAACCAGCTGCTTATCCTAATTTTGTTGGTACAGATGCTAGGTGGCCTCACTCTGAATGCTTGGCCAAGCTGTAAGGAAGGGTAAATCAATCTGATCTCAGTGAGCAATATCTATAGACCTGCAGACAGTAAGGAAAGCTTTGTTCGATTGACACTTCTAATAATGTGTAAGAACCCACTGTTTCATTTTGAAGCATTTGTTTGCGCTGCTTATGTGGTTATACACAAGATGGCTCAGATCTGTTCCATTGGTTACAGAATAACTTAGCCCTATTTATTCTAAGCTGCTTCTACTGTTGGGCTGGCAAACAGTTCTGTGTTATAGCATCACCAGGTTGACCCCTCATTGTTAAGTATGCTTGGTGCTGCTCGTAGCATGTCCTCCTGCAGTCTTCACAGAACAAACGTTAATTCTCTCAGCTTGCTAGTAATGGTAGAATGGTGGTCATGTTTGGCTATGAGTTTACAGATTATGGCTGAATACAATTCTGCTGCTACCAATGGCCCACAGCACCTGAAGGCCAGGTTTGAGTCGATATATTTCTTTAAAGTCTAACCCAATTCACTGAGTGCTCCATGTAGGATATTAGGTGGGGGAGGGGAGTGGCAGTATGGTAAGGGTTTGACTGCCTGACATTATAATAACTGGGTCAATGCCCCAGGTGCATGCTTTAACTTGTAGGGTTGGCCATCTGCCTACTTTCGTTGAGGTGCAGGCTTGCCCCCAAGGCAATAGACCTGACTCCACCCTACACCAGGATGAAAATATGGTGAATTGGGACTTCCTTAGCAGGAAGGTACACCCCTGATCCCTGATACCTGTCTCCTTCACAAAACCCTGGCCCTAAATGTTTGCGACCAATGTCCTCTATATGTCTAATACAACTTCACTGCTTTTCTACCCCTTTTGAAACGGATTCTCAATGCTTTGCTCGCCTTGCTTATGGCCTTATTCACCACTTTTGCAATTTGGAACAGCTCCTTCCACTTCCTGCCACATACTTCTAGTTTGAGAGTTCCTGCAGAATAATTGTGCAATCAGACCCCAGAAAGATTGATAAAAGCACATTGTACCTTTGGCCTTTTTAAAGGGCTTTCACTCATTGACAGTTTGACTTATGTGGCTAAGAAGAATTTGTGCATTTAGTCAGTTTTCACAAACTGAAGGTTGACACTGAGATATACACCAGTCATGATGCTACTATATAGTTGCCTTTTGGAAGTTGTGGTATTAAGTAAGTGTATTTTAGGAGAAAAAAGATGGCAATGTTTACTTGAAACCAGAAAAAAAATTGATAGAAAGCATTCTTTGGAGAGAGCATCTGAAATGTGAACCCTTTGTTGATTTTGACATCCTATATTTTAATTACTTTATAATATTTTACTTCCATCAGGGATATCACTTACATTCTAGCATGTAGCTAAGAGCTGTAATAAAAAACACAGCTACTGCCTCCAGGCATATATTTCTAAATGATGCCTCTCTGTATTATTGTCCTAGGCAGACGATACATATGCCTTAAAGACTTGCAACAGAAAGTGTCAACTAATTAAAGCAAATGTCAGGGGCACGGTTCACGCTAGAGTTGCATGTTTTGCGTGTAGGCAATTTTCTTTTCATGGTACACTCTGTAGCCCTCAGAATCAGAAGGCACCTTTCATATTTCCCAATGTGGGCTGTGGCCAAATTGCACTGTTGGCCTGAGCCTGGATAAACCATACAGTGGGAGGCTGTTACTCAGACTCTGCTCACCAGCAAATGAATTGTGCAGTTACTCAAAACCCCTCTCCCTATGACTACTGTGATTTTAATGCCAGGATGTTGTGGGTATGAAATGTCTGATTTCTCACAACATTAAAACAGCTCCAGTAAGTTTGGTATCTCTCCACTAAACTGTGTCTGCGTGCCTCTAAACACAAATCAACACTATGTTGAAATCATAGACTCATAGAATCATAAAGTACAAAATGAGGCCACTTGACTCATTGAGTCTGTGCTGGTTTTTTGGAACAGCAATTCTATTTTGTTGTACCAATATCTGACTTATCCTTTCCCATCATTTTTGTGACAATTTTATGTGATAGGAAGCACATTTAAAAATTATGCATGTGTACCTTTAAATATTTTCCAAAAGTAGTGATAACCAAAGACTCTGGTAGCCCTTTCTGTTCCCTTTCCTTTCTTTTCATTTCAGCTAAATTTTACTGATACTCTGAATTATTTAGGTTAACACAGAGTAGTGATTTCTACTTGGTCTGTGGGGCTCAATAGGTAAAATACACAGTGAACAATAGAGGAAGCCACTGAAATGAACTTTCTATTCATTGTTGACTCATTTGCCTTCATAATGCATTCCTGATGATTAAATCTCTTACTTTGAAGTGGGAAGGAAGGTCGGTCTGTGTAGGATGTTATGACCCCAAAGAGAGTCTGGGTCAAGATGCTTGCAACTCTGTAACGGGTCTATGGTTTCCTGAGTCAGGTTTTGAGATGTTTTGACATAGTTATATCTCTGGGTGTGAAGCAAACTTTTGTGAGACTCCTAGACAAATAAGGTTATCTTGCTGAAGTTTTGCTCTTCTGGCAAATTGGGAGAAGCTGCTGCTCTGGGTTGGAATCACCTCACAAATCCCTGACTTGCTATGGAATGCTGCTTCAGCCGTGTGGGATGGAGCACTAGAAAAGTCTCCAGTACTTAGCATCAAGTGAATGTAACCTCCATCACACCAAAGGATATCACCATGACCGAATGCTCCCAGTATCACCATTGTGGGGATTTCCATTGAATAGAATCTGAATTGGACGCACCATATCAATACGGTGACTGCAAGAGCAGGTCAGAGGCTTGGAATGCTTCAGCTAGCAACTCACCTCCTGACTCCTGACTCCCCAAAGCCTGTCCACCACCTACAAGGCACTCGTCAGGAGTGTGATGGAATACTCCCCACTTGCCCGGATGAGTGCAGCCCAATAACACGTAGCTTGACACCATCCAGGACAAAGCAGCCCAATTGATTGACACCACATCCACAAACATCCACTTCCTGCGGCACCGGTGCTCAGTAGCAGCAATGTGTACTACCTACAAGATGCACTACAGAAATTCACCAAGGCTCATTCGACAACACCTTCCAAACCCATGTAAAAAGACAAGCAGGTACATGAGAACATCAACATCTGCGAGTTCCCCTCCGACCCACTCACTGTCCTGACTTGGAGATATATCACTGTTCCTTCTCTGTGGCTGGATCGAAATCCTAAACTCCTTCTCTAAAGGCATTGTGGGGCTACCTGCAGCACATGGACTACAGCAGTTCAAGAAGGCAGCTCACCACCATCTTATCAAGGACAACCAGGGACAGGCAAAATATGTTTGTCTACCCAGCATTTCCAATTCCCATGAATGAGTAATAAAAATACCAAAAGCTCAGTAGAGACTTTACAGACTTGTAAGCGACTCTCGGACAGGCACATGGAGGATAGTAAAATGTAGGGTATGCAGGGTAGATTGATCTTAGTAGGATAATAGGTTGGCACAACACCGTGGGCCGAAGGGCCTGTACTGTGCTGTACTGTTCTATGTTCTATGATGTATGTTCAGTAATTCTAGTTTGCCACGGGTAGCAGACTTGAAACCCTAACCTTTACAAGGCATCCTCTATCCAGAGGATTA